GTCGTTCCATTGTGAATTCTGAATGAGAAAAATTACGAGGAAATTTCTGCAAATGCGCAGTTTTTATTCATGACTGACGGCGAACGAGAAGACCATTGTTGTAACTCCCGGCGAAAATGTTTTTGAGAGGATATTTTTTTTCAAATAACGTGGAAAAACGACATTCCCGACGATATTCGTGATTCGACGAAGTTATTAAAAAAGAATAACTTTTCAAGTTTTTGACCTTTCGTCAATTGGCACAGCACTTCTCGAAACGTTAATCGCATAGTTAAAAATAAGATGTGAAGAAGAGGACGGTGACGACACAACTTTGACACTTATATAATAAATGTTTAATAAATCCATTCGAATGCTACGGCGTTAACGCGCCAATGTTTCATATATAATGTTTTTTCAGCGCGTATTCGTTTCCAACATGTTCGTGCAATTATCCCGACAAACGCGTCTTAAGCATCATTATTATGTACAATCGGGGCACGTTTTACGCATGATCTACGAGACTTTAATTATGCCTTCGGGGGATAGTAGTAGGAAAGGAATTATAGAGACGGATTAGACGAAAACAGTTCGCGTGAGCCAGCTGTCTGATAGATCGATGCGTTCGAATAGAACGGAATAATTACGGAGGCACACGACGTGCCCGGTAGTTTCTTCTTTTTCGCAAAGCGATTCGCAAAACTTGACAAGTTGAAAAATCACCGACCGACAGTGATTCGTGTTCACGTTTATCAACGTTAATAACGGTGGATCGCAAGAACGATAAGTATCGTTTGCTTTCGATCCTCTATGAAAATGAAACGAAATGAAACCAGTTCCATTCTCTGGAAACTTGTTGCTCGTTCATATAATAACGAATCGTTCCGATCGTGTCCTGGCTTCGTCGAGGTAAAATGCAATTTACCAGAGAAAACCTAGACGACAAAATACAAACTGCTCTCGTAGTTTATCTTGGATCCTTTGTGCGCCGGGGTCATTGAAATTCTCGCAATTTCCGCCATGATTATTTTCGAGTGATCGTTGGGGACTCGAATGGCTATCGAATGAACAATACAATTTCCAAGTTTCCCTCCCTGCTCGTGCACTTTACTTTCCACCCCTTTGTACGCAAAAGTAAACGAATTTATCACGGCCTTCCAGAATGGACCAGAACGGCCATTCTCGAAATTTCAGTAGGAACGCTAACACACATAACTTGACGGAACGGATTTTCGCAGACATCGCAGACTTGCCCACCTGAAGAGGAAGAGTATGCAGCTTTCGCATAAACATTTCAACCGCCCACTCACAGTGTCTCTGCAATATCGCAAATATTCCGGCGCCATCGAGTTTCGAGCCGGTGTCTAAATAAATAGCCGATCGGCGGGGACTTAGTTATGCATGCGACTCGGTCAAAGCGGAGAGGTTGAATACGCCTCGGAAACGACGACGCCCGAACAAGTGGCTGCTTTGCCTTTTCGATGGCCCGACAACAGCTATGATTTGTTTCTCGCGAGATGACATATGGATGGACTTGTTGAAGGAACGGCCGAGACTAGCCACTAAAAAGAGGACAGATTATTTCAACGACAACGTCAAGTGGGAACGGGTGACAGACACTGGACGATCTTGACGCTCTTCCCGAGCCTCTGATTATAACTGTCGAGTTATAATTATTCAAGGTTAACCCCTTCGTCATAACGTCTCTTTCAAGGGATCAGAGAAAAAAGTTGGCGAGGAAAGATTATCGAAATTGAAGACGGGAGATTCAACGGGATGGAAGGACATTATTAAACACGTATACGTTCGACATCGAAGACACGAAGTCGTCCAAGTTAATATTTGCTACGAATCCCTAATCGAGTCTAGAGATCACATCGTATCTGAATCGTGTTTAAAAGCGTTAAGCTGATGATGCGTATCGACGTAGGGACGACCAACGACGAATTTGCCGTTATCTGAGTTTGAGGATCGTCCCTCGCGCCGATCCTTCTCCACGAATATTAATCCTTTCCTCTCGGATTTGGCCGAATAAACGTGGTGTTGGTCGGGTGTTGCTCGTAATAACTACGCGTACAGGTGGTTTAGAGCGGCTGGTGGAGGTAAATGGCGGGTTGAAAGAGGCGAAGATACATTAATACCGCGGCAATAAAAGGCTGGTACAGTTACACGGTTCTCTTCCTCGAACGCGTATACGTTTACGCGCAAGATTTATCGAATCGTTCGTCGAATCTTGTTTTCGAGTCGTTTCTCATCCGTGTTTCAACGAGGATCTTTATGACGTTCGAACGACGACTGGTGTGGAATCGAGACACAGGAAAATGGCACACGCGTTTCGACACGTACGGTTTTATAACCGTGTCCCATTTTTTGGGGGGATATTTTACGAGGCGATCGAGCAACGATTTTGGGAAGCTAAGTGTTCCTTCGTTCTAAATTTGCATCCCTATATCGTTGCATTCGAACGAGCTGCGCGACTTGCGTTGGACTGCAAGTTGCAGGCCTCGTGTGAACGACCCCGGCCCTCATACGAAATGTAAATATTTACACGAGCAGCTGTCAGTGAAGGGGAATATTCGTTTTTTCAGGTAATATCCCTGTACTATACGGAGGCGTGTTACAAGCGCGGTATGTTATCCTGCCATCAGCAGGATATTTTTCGGCCTCCTTTTCAACCAACTTTTCTCTCGATGGTTTTGGAAATGATAGGCGCACTCAGGACGGAATATTCGATTGATTCGAGCACACGCATCAAATAATTGGGTTAAAGAGATTATTGGAGGTAAAAATCTAGATTAAAAACAGAAACTAAAAAGCAATTGTTGGATGACTATGACGAGTTACGCTTATAATATTTCTTTCAATTCTCGGTAAAAATGATTGATTCTCTTCGTTGATATAAAAGTAAAAAAAGGAGACACTAGATGTGAAATTTTTGACCAAAATTTTAATTTTCGAAGAATAGAAGGAACGTATTATATGTAAGTATTTATACTCACCCTTATATATTTATTCTTCTTTTCAACTTACATTTGGTAGAAATTTTGTTTCGATCGTTTCAAATTGATTCCAATTTTAAAACGGCAAACGTAATAAACTCTCTATTTTACGTACTCACATACATTTTGCACACTTACCTTTTTCAAGATGCCATTAAAATTCACGACGATGGTTTCAGAAGATCGTAACGAAGAGGCGTAACTAACCATCACCATCGCCACCACCAGGATTGTCCACCATCCAGATGTCTGTAATCGCAACTTACCAAATTAAAATGATAATCTCTCGGCGGAGTATCGAGTATCATAAACTGGAACCATCGGTGGTGAATCATCTCTCGACCGAAGAAAGAAAATCGAGCTGCAATTGAACGGTTACTTAACATACCACAGCAAGAGACAATTTTTCTTTCATCCTCGACCGAGGCGACGACGGTAGGTGAAGAACAGCGTGGACCAGCGTGGTCCTAATAGGGTGAAACGTGATTTTTCTAGCAGCCCTACCCCTACCCCACGTCCGGATCGCCACTCGCAGAAGATATACTTGGCGCGGCTTGCCTGTCCGCCAAGCGGCCGAGCAGTTTTCTGGCGCTGGCTGGCAGAGCAGCTGTTTCCAGACTGGAGGCGGTATTCTCGCTGGAAGTTCAGTCTCGTTGCGACCGTCGGCGAGGTCGTGTCGTAGCCTGCCGTTTTTGCGGCCGCGCTTTGCCTTCCCGCCACGTGCGCTCCTCTTCCTCTCTCCTCCCCTTCTCCGCCTCGCCACGTCTCGTCTCTCGTCAGCCGATACATCTCGAAACCGGCTCCCGGTTGGAAACTCTTGGGTCCGCGGTGAACCACGCGACGTGCACGTCGCCCTGGGAACGGACGCACGCTTCCACGGAGGAAGAGAAATCGAGGAGGATTCAGCTTGATCGAGACGTCAGTGAGTAGCAGACTATATAGAATTATATCCTTGTTTTTTTTTTTTTTTACTTACAAAAGGTGGAAGAGGAGATTGTGGAAAAGGAAAGTTTTAGGGTGGATCGTTGACCGGTTTTCAGAATCGGTGAAAAAAATTATGGAGAATTATCGAAAGGGAAATTGCAAAAGGAGTGTTAATTATCGAGGAATTTAAGATTGTACAATTTGATGGAAAATTTTTTCCATAAAATTCCGGTATTGATTTATTCGCCGAGTCGGTGATTGTGCAATGATTCATTACGGTAAAGTGTACTTTATGATTCGTAAAGCGATGTTGTGTATATATAGTTTCGTCTAATTCCCGAGTAGAAAAATACACGCTGTAATTTGCGATTCGTTCCATTCCAACTCCGTATTCAATTTTTAGTATTTTATCCCGGCCGCGTCATCCACGATATTCCAGAACAGAAATGATAAACTTGGAATGGAAAAACGTTGAAACAAACCGGCTGTCATCGATTCGTTTGTTTCTCTTGCATGCACGGATATAATCTTCGGTGTTACGTAAACCGTCTCCAGTTTTCGCGGTCCCCCACCCCCTTCCTCCTCGCTCGGGGCAGTTTCGAAACTATGGCGCGCTTTGTTTCACCGGAGGGGTTTCCGGCCGACGAATTCGCGGCACTCGAAACCGGAAACCGTGGCCCCCACACGGTGGAATCAGGCCACGGGGTATAGGCCTGTTCTTGTCTCTCGATGTGGTGTGGTCACTTCGAGGAATCGCAAGAAAGAAAGAAGGAAAAAAAAAAAGAAAAGAAACGATAAATGCATGTGTCTCCGAGGGCCGATATAAGTTGGACTCTTGGAGAGTCGAGCGGATCGACTTTCGAATATTTTGCGGGACCCGCGTTTTATTTCGCGCCGACGAAAAGGAATTCGACGCGTTTCGGAATAATTTTATGTCGGCACTGTTCGTTTCTTCGTCGTGGGCCAACTCATTGAAATATTCAGGTTTGGGAAGCTGGCCTAGTGGCGCAGTAGAATAGAAATTGTAAATCAATTCGTTGGGAAATTATAGAAATCGTGTGAATTCGTTTTCGAAACGTTCGTAATTGCGTTACGCGGAGTTGGCGATTTAATGGAAGAGTGTGTACGTGGAAATGGTTGTACGTTCGACGATATAATGGAATTATTAAAGATTTAATAGATGGAATATTGGAGGGACGCGGGAAACGATTAAAAGCGATTGACTATCAAAAGCTTTGTCGCGTGTTGCGCTTAAAAAAAAAAAAATCTCTGCCCGCTCGTTAAACGTTACTGTAATACAACAACATTACCGTGTTACTGGATAGAAATCCGATCGGTTCGAATCAGCGATCAGATTGAATGGACTGAAAGACTAGTAGCTTAGAAAATATATTCCCAAACACACCACGCTTTGAATATCCGAGTCTAAATACACAGAATTTGAGAGACAAAGTCTTTGCACACCTGGGTCAATTTTTAAACAAACAAAAAAAAAAGAGAGAGAGAGAGAGAGAGAAATTGGAACGCTTCAAAACTCTAACTGACATCTCCAACGCGAATTTTATAAAACTCACGCGCAAGGATAATGAAACTACTTGAAAGATATTTTCTCGGATAGCTGTCAATTTACACCAACATCGATCGGCCATCATTAGCAGTTTCTCTCGTCGATCTTTGAGTTTTCAACCAGATCGATCGATGGTGCTCGTTACGAAAGTAAGCGAATAATAAAGCTTAAAGAACGATTGCGTAAGAATCGGTGCAGCGTAGATTGATTCACAAACGTGGACACCTGTGTTCCGATACCTCGATTGATTAACGATTCATTGTATTTTCGTTGGTAAAAGGAGCGGCCATATGTAATAGATCTCACACCTCTTTTCTTGTTTCGTATCAACTATTCGTATCGCGAGTTACGAACGTGTTTGCGGTAATCCGATCCATCGATCGTTATAATTGTTCCGCTTCTGACACATAGTTTATATTAAATTATTCTCCGGTAAGCCTATTATGTAAAACTCTTTCATACACGAAAATAAAAATCCTAAAACAACTTAAACGTGATCTTTTGTCGATAATTTCTAAGGTAGATCTTAAGACGTGATCTTAAGACGCGAGAAATATTTCAGAATATTTTACTTCAAGCGGAAGAAACTTCTTCTTCTTCTTCTTAAAAGATTAAAATGAAAATTTCTATTATATTTCACTTTTTAAATTATACGAACTGTTATATATCCACGTCTTGATTTCAATAAGTTTTCTTAATAAAACAAAATTCTAAACTCGAAGTATAAATCAATTTGTCAATGCGTTAACAAATTTTTCAACGAGAGGAAATCAACAAATTCTAAATATAATAAGGCTTGGAAGAATTTCATCGATTCGAGTATCATCGATTTTCCACGCAAGGGTTCGCAAAAGAGTGGAACGAAAGAGGTCCTCCGCTCCAAGCTGAATCCCTATACGGCGTTCAAAATTTCATCGAAAAAATCAATCCGCTCGGAACGAATCGCGGTACGACACTTGGCTCTTAGATTCGCGTGAACGTGGAGCGGCATTGAAACGCGGGATGGGGTAGGGTGGCGTAGCGTGGGCGAGGATGGACGTTCGTTATCGATGTGATTTGTTGCCGTTGCCCGAATCGAGGGCGTCGTCCAAGTAACCGGGAGGATTTCCACCGCGAGTTCATCCGCGCGAACCTACGCGAAATCGTCGAGCAACCGTTCTGGATTATTACCTGAGATAGTTTGGGGAACTGTAGACGCTAGTTTCAGCGGAGTTATGCCGTCCCAAGTGATTAAGCGTTGCATTTCCATTCGAAATGCTGGTCGGTTGATTAATCGCCGGCCGCGGCACTGGTGAAAATAGTTAAGCGTTGCTTTTCGCTTCGATTGATTAATTGCTCGGTCGCGGAGAAGCCGGGTGAAACGTTTTGAAAAAGGATTGGGAATAATTTAGAAAACCGGAGGTGTTCGAAGATGTGTCCACGATCAGGATAATGAGTTTGCCAGAGAGTGGAATTTTTTTTTTTCTTTTTTATGGTTCTTTAATGAGAAACGATCGATTCTCGACAAATTTTTAGCTAAGAAACGACGGATAAATCTTTTCAATATTTCAATATGGAGCTTTTTTTCTTCACGAATCTTCATAAATTATCCAAATTGTTCGTAGAAGAACGATAATCGAAAAGTTGAGCGACTAGACTTTTAAATAAACAATTTTTACAATTTATGCAATTACCGTTATAAATTATCTTGCAATCGCGTAACGCGTTTTACGATGCAGGATGGTGTACGCAATCGATCCGATGGATTGTTTATTTTGACGCGACGCTGAAAAGAGAACGCGCGTAGGCGGCTACTTTTTCCAGAACTTTTATTTACCATCCAATGGATTTGTTGAAGTATCGTTCGTTGAAGAATCCTTGGGAAAAAGATCGCGGAGGAAACACGCTGCACACCGAATCAACCGAATGGAATTTAATTGAATCCCGCCGAAGAATTTTAAAATAAAAGAAAAAAAAAAAAAAGAAAATATACGATCGCTCGAGCGTCGGATCCGCGACGAATATTTGAAATAAGCGTGCAACGCGGAAGCGATTCGATCGAGAAAACCACTCTGCTTGCTTCATTACCTGGTGCTTTTTGCCACTTATCCAAATGCGGTGTGTTTCGCGTTTAATCACGTGCAGAGATTAATCGCGCGGCTCCAACGTCGAGGATCAATCCGCGAGAAAGTTCCATATCTCTCCCGAATTCTTCGAAAATAATTTTAAACAAATTTCGAATCGTTGAGAAAGAGATTCCGTTATTGGTTTTGATTTTGTGGAAGTGTGTTTGGTGACGATTCAGAGGATTCTCGCCGAAGAGAAGTAACACCGGCAAACAGATACTAAATGATGAAAAATCGTGGACATGGATGAGATTTGCTCCCTCGTTAATATCGATCTTGTCTGGCTGGCGATAAAATTTCTTCTCCTCCTCCGAGGAAATCCTCCTCCCCGTTTGTTTCGAATCGTTGTTTCAAATCCTCGAAATGATTTTCCTCGCGACTCGGTGAGAGATGAGAAACAAGAAAGAAAGACAAGACAATCGATTCCCCGTAACTCCTCTTAATTTATCGGGATCGCTCGAGCGTTTTAATATCCCCCATCAAACTTGGATAACAAAGATTCCTCCGATTCTTCCTTATTCGAATAACGATATCCACTCGAGAGAGAAAAACAAATCCGACATGTAGAAAGTTTCCACGATATAATATATATATCGTTCCAATTATCTATTAATCCGGGCAACGATAACTTTTCTCGAAACAGTCGAGTCGAGGATTACCTTTACAGAAAGAGCTGCGAGCTGATAACGATAAATTATCGACCGAACGTTTTCTTCTTAGTTTCGTTTAGAATATCTACGCGGAATATCGTAAATTTAATCGGGGAAAAACGAGGTGTATCGTGGATCTCTCTTTCTTAATCCCACGTATCAAAAGAGTAGTTTCTATCGTCTCATAGTTTCGACACCTGAAAAAAGATCGTGGCGAGTGAACGTTTCTTATGTCGTTTATCAAATTGGATTTACCAAAGGGACTTCCTACCAATTCCGTCTCGACGTGACGTGGCGAAAGGCCGGTAAGGTTAAACGCCATTTATTCGAGGAATGATTGTTAATGATCCATGATACCGTACGCGTGTTCGATGTTTATCGCGTTATAAGTTGTTCGAGGTATATATTAACGACAAAGCGCAAGCAGGTTTATACCCTCGTTTCAGATAGAACGATCGCTACTTCTACGGGGATAGTCGGTAGGCAACCAGTCGGCGAGTATTGAATAACATGCGTAAAAGTTAATAGCCTGTATATATATATATTGTATACATGTACAGTAGATGAGTTTATAGGAGTTTTTATGCCATTGCTTAGCGAGAACAGGGAATGTAAATTTCGTGTACCAATTATATGATATATACTTATTCTATTAATCTCCGCGTGAAATCAGATTTTTCGATATTGTTCAGTTACTACGTAAATAAAATACCAAGCTTGGAAAATAGATCGCATAAATTTTTGATTTTATAGTGGATGCTTAAAGAGGAGATTAATTGAATCGGAAAACGGAAGAGTACAAAAAAGGCGAGGGAAAAGGAAACGTTGAAATTTGATCGATCCAAAGATTCATCCCAAGATGAAGATATCTTTCTGGATTTACCTCTCGTGGAAGGTGATTTTCTGTTTTGTAAACGCGAAATAGACTCTCTTAAGCTTCTCTAAACTTCACCCTCGCGTCCCATTGAGTGGCCGCAAAAATAGGCACTTCTATGTACGTGCAAACGCACTCAGCCATGGTAAAGCACGCACTCTCGAGGCCCGACTTTTCATACGTTGCAGTCCGTGCTTTCTCGTCGAGGGAGAAGAAAGTTGTCGTCGGACGGACCTAAGGGATCTAAGCGAACAAAGCGGCAAGGACAACGTTTTCCCATTTTCTTCTTGGCAACTTGTCAATTGCATCCGTCGAAAGGTCTGCGGAATCATAAGATAAAGAATTATCGGAGAACATCGTCCCAACAAAAAATTCTAAATGGATGGAAAAACTATTTTCCATCCCTCCTCTTACTTAGTCATCCACTATTACTTTTCCTCCAATAAAATAGAATTGAACTGGCCGATGCGATCCACTTTATATAATTTTATATAATATATAATTTTTTATTATTTTCTCTCTTCTTTTTTTTTTTTTTCTTACATTTTACATCATTTTACGTTATCAATCACAACGCGTATCGCAAAGCTTATCGTTAATAAGTTAAAAGATAGACGCTAATCGATCGAGTAATTAGCTCAAGCATAACGGTATATAACACGTTTAATTCTCACTGATTTTTTCCACTCGGAACAAAAGAAAAGTGTTGCGTATATTAAAAATGGCCTGATCAAAGCGAGGCAACGAATGAATGTTTGATCGAGAATCGCCTCGTTCAATTCCCCTCCCGTTATTTGTCCGTACGCTCGTTTCTTATCGATTCTATTACACGGCCAGATATTTTGAGCGACGCGATATTGCGCGATCGGATATCGATAAACCGACTGCTCCCGGCTCATTATTGAGCCGATGGATCTATTTATAGGCGAGCAGATATCTTGATCTTTGGCCAAGTCGTCCGGTAAACCGATCGTCAGCCTCGTGTTTGCTCATCTTCAGCCACCGCGCTTTAGATGTCGAGGGTATCCTTCGAGAGCTGATTGCATCGTATCGCCCCGGGATCGTTATATTGTCGTAACGAGCCGCGCGCCAATCGCGGATGTCTTTATCGTCATATAACCGTGTCGAATCTACTTCTTCGACGTTCAACAATTCTCCTCTTCTTCCTCTTTCTCGATCGTTTCACGCTCGAAATCGAAAAACGAAGGAAAAAAATCTTTTTCTTTTTCAACTCGACGCGAAATTCTCGATGCGAAATTCCTTCGAAAAATTAAATTTGGAATTTTCCACGGAAAATGCGTAATATAAACGATCTCCTTTCGCACCGAATATTAATAGTACATTTTAAACACCCGCCTGTTCTTCCCCCGAATTCTAAAACGTTGATCAAATATACTCGGCCAACAGAGTTATAATAACTTTCTCGGAAACGAACGGGTTACTTCTGTTACTTGTGGAACTAAAGCGGGACGCTTCCCTTCCAAATCCCCGAATTCGCACCGGATGAAGATTAAAACCTCGAATGCTCCCTCTCGGTCCCCATAAATCCGCGCTTCAATTCGAAATTCGATATTTTATGCAGATTTGCGGGCGGGCGGCGGCTGGTTAAAACCGTATTACGGCACCGTAGGTGTTAGATTCCATTTGATCGTTCCCATGCTCGTAACTCGGCCGTGGACCGCCCATCGTGACCCATTGTGGCCGCCGTCCACTCCAAAATATCCAATATCCCGACAGTACAACGTCTTTCGCCCGCCTCATTCTTTTCGACGTTCTTTTCGTTTTCCGTCACGGCCTGTCGTCGCGCGACGCGCTATCATCAGCCGTGGTTCGTCGCAACGCCATCGTTCGACGATTCCTCATTGTGCCGCCGTTAGATTTAAAATTAAAAAAACTCTCCCACCCCTCTTTGGAGGACGCGTCGACTACGAGATAAATCATTTATCCAGAAGGGGGGGGGAGGGGGAGAAGAGGTCGTGAAACGAGACAATTCGTGTCGGCTTTGCGATACGATAGAAATTGAACGAGGATCGAGAGGATTTTAAACGAGGCCGCAATTAGAATGTTGAAGCGTCGGCCGGTCACCGAACTCATCGATCACGATGAGTCGGAGAGCGAGATTCGATGATTCAAAGTGTTATATCAAATCGGCAGGGACTCGTGTCGCCATCGTTTGCATCGATTAATCACACAGCCCGTAATCCGCGTATAACGTATTCCCATCGGAGAGCCGCGATCCATCTCTCCGCTTCGACGACCAAGACGAACGACCAAGGTCCCGCGCGCAACCTTCTCATGCTTCGCTTCTCCCTTCGTTATATTACGCCAAGTCCACGAAATTGCGGTGACCAAGGCGAGTACGCAAGATCGTTGACCCGTGGTTGGAGGAAGAAAGAATCGTCTCGCGACGAAAAATTCATTTCAAGCGGACGATTGAAGCGGAAAAAGAGAGGAGAGGAGTGGAGAGGAGACAACGGTCGTAAGTCTCGCGCGGCCATTTCGACGTAAGAATTCTTAAGTACCTGAGCCCAGCCCGGCCACTCGAGCCTCGCGTCCCTTCGTTTTGGCACTCAGAGAGCACCCCCTTCGGCTTTTTGTGCCCGCCATCGAAGGTCTTCGAGCGGACCATCTCCAAATGCCTTGCCTTTCTAACCATGCCTCCAAGGGGGCTGCGTTTCGTCTGGGAACGCCGACACCCTGCGCGTGCACCGCCGCGTTAATGTGTTGCCCTAATATCGCGCGCATCTGCTCCCTTTCCCTCCGTGGAGGGAGAAACGATGACATTAAGTTATCTGCTCTTTTTCTCGGGGGGGGGGGGGTCGGACACGTATCGAGAGCGGCGTAGTAAACTGGAGAGAGCCTGGGATGAGCAGAGAACTAGGTAACGAAAGAATAAAATCGAGTCTCTCTCTCTCTCTCTTTCCCCCTTCGATTTTATTTTTCTCTCAGCTATTGTAGACACCTCGCCCTACGACCGCGTTCACCGGTCTCGTTTTCGCACCTGCTCCTCCACTCGCACCGCCTCACACCCCTTGCAAACTCGTACCTTGCAAACCTCGATCCGCGTGTTTCTCGCTCGAATTCAAGTTATTTGCCGCGTACACGTGGACGTGAGCTCGAAGGAACGAAGTTATTTTATCGTCGTGTCCGCTCGATGAAAAAGATTATCGGGGAGAAAAAATCTAGCGAGATCTTCGTGGCAAGTTTTCCCAGGAAATTTCTCGTTTGCCTGGAGGAATTCTGAAAGATAGATTCTTTTGGCCCGCGAACAAAAGATTTCTTGCCGGGCCTTGTCAAAAACGTCACCAACTGACACGTTTCTCCTTATCCAGGTAGCACATACCGATATTCTACGTCATAAAAGAAACCATAGAAGAAAATCTGATATATGAAATACCGTGAGAGAAAGAATCCCAAAACGATCTACATCGCGTTACATCCATCCAGTAATTAAATTCGCAAGAATGGAGCAACGAAAGGAGCGAGATCGCGGTTTCGAAGTTTGATGTTTCGGTCTGAGAATTATGTTCCATTGTACGTCGAGTATTGCACTGAGACGAATCGTTTTCCCCGCCGAGCCGCTTTTCCTTCTACCTTTCGCGGATCTTTGTCTCTCCCGCATTGTTGACACGTGTTTACTTGTTACGGTTTATTATTACACGTGGACATGGATGGATACCGAACAGTGTCCAGGGAACGTGGAACAATAACAGGGCCGTGGAACGATCCGAGGCCAGGCATAGCGGTGTGACTAATCCGTAACCGGCCATGTAATTCATTTTTCCCTGACCATTTTGACCCGTTTGCCATCATTATTTCACGCCTTCGTCTCGCTTCTCAACGTGGCTAAAGTCGATCTTCCCCCCCTCCGTAATTAGATATTTCATTCATTCCTCTGCGCCCCGCAGGAAATCAGTCTGACGGATACGGACGATCTGTTTGGTTAATAACTCGCGTCTATTATATGTAATATAGGCAGAAGTGGAAGATTTCGTATCAAGGCCGCTCCCTTCGTCTATGAATCACTCCCACTTTTATGGTCTTGCCACGTGCACCGGTTGTTGGACGGAGCATAGGCCATAAATATGGATAGAGGTTTGTATTCTTATTGCTATTGATCGCTCGTATATTTAACGAGACATGACTCTGGAATCCGCGATATCGATAAGGGCCGTATTCTTGACGTATTGTCCATTCGAATTTAATTAACCGCTCGCGGGAGACACGATTTAAGAGACGTTACGAGGCTGGCCGGCGTATCAACCGAATCAGGATTCCATTCCGGGACGACGACCGTGGAAACGACGATGCCATTCAAACGTGGGCAGAATTTCCCGCTAAATGACACTTTCGAATACGCGTATGACGCGTGGTGATACGCAGTAGCCACTTTTAAACGAACTTTCACATCCTTCTTAGAAACTCCATTATTTCTTCCTGTATTATTCTTCCAGTGATGCTTGCATAAGCATTTTAGATTTAACATTCTTCTTCTTCTTCTTCTTCTTCTTCTTTTCTTCTTGTTAATTTCCATCACGGAATAGAGACGAATCGTTGCGAAGATTAAAAAAAAAAAAAAAACAAGAGAAAAGCGGAGATTGCTTTCGGTGCTCTCGAGATTACCATTAGAATCGCGTGGGCAGGATTCGTTTCGAGGAGATTTATAAGTTAATCGAGCGTAATGGATCTGGAATGGTGGGCCAACGCATCGAGTCGCATCTGTTCGATGTTCGTGGCCTACGTAATTCCTCTTCTTTCGAGCAAGGCTCGCCCTCTTGAGAATAGGATATGATGCGCGTCGGATATACGGAAGCGTGAGTCACGGTCTTTTGTGGCGTGCCTACCCCCGGTTCGTTCAGTTTCGGATCGCTTTACGGTTCCGTCGCGATAATATCTCCAATGATATCTTCCCTTTTCCGCGTTAATCTCTTCCCCCGATACAGGGCAGAAGAAGAGATAAAGGAACGGGGCGGAAGTAAGAAATCTGGGAAAACACGTGGTGACGACGCTCGATCCCAGGGTAATTAAGATCATAGACGGGAAGAGCGATGAAAAGTAAGAGAGATACTTGTATTTTATCTTCCCAACTTGACAAACTTTCCGTACTTTTGGTGAGAGGCGATCGTTTCGCTAGCACGGAGTGTCGTTCGATGCGAGAAAAATTCCTACGTGACGTGTATCCGAGCGTATATTTCAGAGCGTACAACACATATTCTTTTAAAGAAAAATTAACGAGTCTGTAACACAATGATCCTTGTCGCTAGGATAGAGATACGAAGAAAAAAAAAAAAAAATAGGTTCAGACGTGAAATACGTTCCACCCAGGATTAACAAATGCATTTGAACGTCGTTCCGTCCGATAGTCACGGATCGGTTCGAAATACCGGTGTCACGATTTATCAAGGTAATTAAATATTCTTGCAACTTATTAACGTGTACACGTGGATCCACTCCGCTAAACTCTCAGAAACTGCTGATGTAGCACGATTATCATTCTCGCGTGTCACCGTTTTATCTTCCCTCTCCCTGTGACGTGTTTAACCATCGCGTTCACCCATGCCGAGCGTTTAAAATCCGCACATTTCGACTTTAGCACACTCGACTGGACTCGATCGGTATTCGCGGACGTTAAAAAAAAAAAAAAAGAAGAAAAAAGGAAAAAGGAAAAGAAAGGTTAGCAATGGAGAATCGCATAATTTAAGCGGTAATCGCGTGCACCGTATCGGCCAGGTGTGTCGCGTACGCTCGGTTGCTTAGCACGAAACGCGCGCCACCATACAAAATCACGGCCCCGATCAAAATCGTTCGGCTCAAGTGAATCCCTTTTTTTTTTTGGCCACGCGCAATCGATTCACCTCGTCTTATATATAAAGATCGTTCGTATTTTCGTATAAATGGAATAAAAGAAATAATAATATAGGATAGGATTCTACGAATTCTAAAAATCTTAATGACCAAGATTAATAATTATCTTCTTTTTTGGGGAGGGGATTTTATCGTATCGTTACGGAACGTTTCTCTAGAAGGCGAATGAATTTCGATAAAATATTCTGCAAAATCCAAAGCGAGCGATTATGCAAATCGATTTTTTTTCGATCGATGCATAATTCTTCGCGTTCTGCACGCGCGCGCAAAAAAAAAAAAAAGTAGGAGAAAAAGTTCGAAGAAAAGAATTCTCGATTCCACGGCGGGGCAAGATACGCGGGGTGGGTAATAAAACGGTTTACGATCAATCCTGTCTAGGATTGGAGGAAGGTTTTTCGCGGAAGTGCATTAGCCCGAGATAAATATACGCTTAAGTCATTTAAATCCGCGCTGAATGTTAATACCGGGGGCATGGGCGATACGGGAACACTGTCGCCGGGCAATCGTCCAATTCTCGTGCCGTGGAGCACACAAGCCGAACAGGCGACCGTGAAGCTTAAAAGTGTTAAGGCTAATGGTCGCTACACTATAAACGTTTCACCGTCGCCTAGCCTGTTCGGTCATTAACTCCGCCCAACAGTACATCGATGTTCCTTCAACGGTATCATCCTTGTCATCGTCACGACAAATTGACCGTTCCTACGTCGATTTTCAAATAGACCGAGCACACAGATAATGTTATCATCTTACCATTCTTTCGACCTGATACGTAACCGTTTGCATTTAACTTTTCTTTCCTTTTTTTAAATACGCCTGCGCGATAAGAATGGTGAATGATTTTGAAAGCGATATAAAAATAGAAATCCAAATATCGTTGTTCTCGATATTGACATATATCTACGATAAGGTGTTCCATAACGAATAAAATAAGATTATATAAAGAACAAAATGGAAATTGTGATTATTTTATTGCTGAAAATTTTCAAGCAACGCGTTTATTACGACGACGTTTGTTAATTCTCGTGTCATTTCTTCCCCAATTCCTTTGTACAAAAGTAACGACTATTGATTAATCATTTATCGAATGGAAATTAGATAGATTTCCTTTCTCTATTCGCGGGTTCGGATTGGTTAAGACTTGTCCGCGGGCCCGCTTTATGAATTTTTCCGGCCGATCTTATCTCGCGAATGGATCACGCGAATTCATTATTCATGGGATCGGACACGCAACGACAAGATCGATCTTCGAACGAGATCGGCCGGCATCGGGACAAGTTAATCAAGGAGCGTGAGGCGACTCGTCGAGGCATGCTCGGACCTCACCATCGCTATTTTTCCATTTTACCTAAGTAAATTCGTATTATTCGCTTCGCTTACGAGTTATTGAATAAGCATGCAAACGAAATCTTATCTTGTTTATTAACGGCAAGGGGAGCCTTGAACAGCCTTGAGTCACGCGTCGGCCAAGTTTACTTAAGAACAGGAATCTACCATCAGGATAAAAATATATATATATACATATATTATAAATTGACTTAAACGATCAAAATTATTTAATATCCAAAATATATGTCCTCACAATGCATATTCTAATCAAATTGTACAAACATAATCTCTAACCCCTATAACAACGTCTCCTAAAATTAATTTCTAAAATAAAATTTATTTTATACCGTGATTTTATTTTACCGAATACTTTTTTTTTAGAAATCAAATATCGATCCAACGTTTATCCAAGAAATTCCCTCGTGAATTTTGCAAAATCCGAAAATAGAAACCGCGAAATCGTATTCTACCCGCGAACATTCGCGAATCTGGAAAGTGTTGTAAAACGGTTTTGTAAAAACACGCGCGACACGCGGAAGGACGATAAACTTGAAGAGGGACGGCGGCGATTTCGCGCGTCGCGATGCGCGGATTAAACGGCGTTGCGCCGCGCCTGTATCTGTATCGGGCGACACGACGAATAAATAGCGGCGATAAGGGGACGCGTATTGCGTGCGATAAGTCGAGTGGTTAATCGGAGAATGCTCCGCTTTGTAAACAGAACGGTATAATTAAGATCGGTTCGAGGAGGGGGAACGAAAGGAAGGAGCGGGGATAGAAATTGGAGAGAGAGAGAGAGAGAGGAGGCGATACAAGTCGGGTACCAATTGTGGTGTA